AAGGGTAAGAGGCACTAAGGAATCTACTCCAAGTCACTGTTGCACTATATGCTAATTTGGATGTAAATTAAAAAAAATAAAATTAATAAAAAATAAAATTCTAGTATGTTCCATGGTAACTTACATGCCATAGATACTTAGCAAGTATCTGTTAATTATGTGTTCAGATATATACACATATATATATATGTATATATATATTTGTATTTCTTATCTTGTGTCCTCCTTACCTAAGATCTGGATGAGGTCTTCTATTAACTCCATGAATTTATAGAATTAAAATCTTTTCCAACATACTTTTCTGCTCTCCCTTTTCACTTCTGTATCATTCCAGTAAGGTTGGCAGGGCAGACAGGACAATGGGGCTATTACACAGATGAGTCACTTGGGACCCGGGGAGGAGGGCTGCAAGCTCAGAACTTCCCAAGGAAGCAGGCCGAGCCCGGAGGAAATTGTGGTCCAGTGCTCACTCCGCTGCTTTCCTTTGGTCCCCATCTCCCTGTAGCAGGGAGCTGCCCATGCTCCCGGTTCTGGCCGCACCCCCTGTGCCTCCGGTAGGGTCAGGAGCCACAGTGAGACATTACCTCATGGTTGGCAAACCGGATATCTCGCGAGAATATGGTAGCCACCCAGTCACAGCCGAGTTTGACATCGATGTTCTGGGCTAGTTTCTCCAGGGTGGGTAAGTGGCTAGCTTGGAAGTGGTAAGCCAGGGTTACGTGCAGCTGCTTCTTGTGAGGTTCCACGTGTACTTCTGGAAACAAAGGAAGGGAACCGTTATTGGAACGTGGTCAGCAGAGCAACGGTGGAGGCTCCAGGAAGAGCACGGAAGGATTGCCCTCATAAATCCCGCCTCTCAAATGACAAAGGAGGGCGTCCCGTGGCCGGACAAGAGCTGCTGCTGTCCTTCACAGCAGCGGAATAAGGGGACAGGCAAGTGCAACAGATCGCGAACAGCCTACAGTTCGAGAGGGAAAGGGCCACACCTGGCTCCTGACAAGGGAAGCGGAGAGGTCATTGTTTGGGTCGGCTTTGCCTCCTAGTAATACACGGAGGATCACCAGCCCGAGGAGACCGTGACCTCAAAGGATGAGCTAATTCACGCCAAAGCAGAGATCCTGCGACGGCGTGCGGGCCAGGGCCGATCACCGTCGTTTTGAAATCGCGTCTCTTGGCTTCTGGGCGGCTCCGACAGAGGAGCCAGGGGAAAAGATGGAATATTTTCAAGGTCCAAGACAGGGTTTTCCAGGGTTTAAAACAGAATGATTCTCTGTTGTGGGAGCTGCCCTGTGCACTGTGGGGTCTGTGGCCACATCCCCGGCCCCCACCCACTAGATTCCGGTAGTACAACCTCAGAAGTTGTGGCAACCAAAAACGACTCCAGACACGGCCACGTGTGCCCCGGGGGATAAAATCTCCCCGACTGAAGCCACTGCTTTAAAGTATACAACGGACTGGTGGGGTGCCTGGGTGACGCGGTTAAACGTCCGACTCTCGATTTCGGCTCAGGTCGTCATCTCACGGTTCGTGAGTTCTAGCCCTGCATCGGGCTCTGTGTGGATGGCGTGGAGCCTGCTTGGGATTCTGTCTCTCCTTCTCTCTGCCCCTCCCCTGCTTGTGCTTTCTCTCTCTCTCAAAATACATAAGTAAACTTAAAAAAAAAAAAAGTATACAGACTGTGCTTCTAAGACACCGTAAGAAACAAAACAAACAAAACAGTGAATTATGTTTCTCTTTTGTACATCTTTACATGGGGGAGATCCATCTACTGTCCAAGCTAGAACAGCGCAGAAGATACAACCAAAGGGAAGGTAGGGAATTTGCGAAGATAGGGAATTAAGGGGCTTGTTCATGTCCCAGGGAGACAGATGTAGCAGTTGGATATTTTTCTGTTACACTACATCGTATTTTTTTTTTTTGGTGTAAGCCCCATGAGGCAAGGTTTTCTGTGTCCTGTTTGCAATGAATCCCCAGTGCTCAGCACGTGATATAGGCTTTTAGTATTCGGTCAATGATCGAACATACATGCATGATGAATCTCCGTAAGCCACCGAGGACGGAGGAGGACAAGAAATCTACTCGCTGATGGACTCTGGGTCTGCAGAAAAGTCTAGAATATCGAGGCATAGGTTCTAGGGCCAAGACGGGATGGCCAGCCATCCACACAAGGAGGCAAGAAGCTGGACCAGCTACCCAGGGCAGCGCCACCCGGTTCTCCCGGTCACCACCAGGGGGCCGCACAGGGGCACAGAACAAGCGGCCAAGTTCTTAGAGAGAGTGGCCACAGATACTGGAGAAGAGCTGGCCCTCCCCTTGCCTACAAGGAAAGCAAGCAAGGGCCTCGCAGCCTCTCACTCATTATGCGCCTTAAGAGTCTGGCACAGCCCTGGCTGAGACCCGCTTTATACATTTGTGAAGGATTTGAGTTTGGTGGCCACACCACCAGTTTTGGGTCTTGTGGGAGTTTTAGTGGTTTTGGTAATAGCTACTGTGGGATGAAAAAGAGTCATTTTCCTGAGTGGAGGGATAGGAACAGGAAACAATTTGCCTCTCTATTATGTCATTTCTCTGAAATATTAAGCCATGAAATGGCAGGCCCCAGCGAAGTCAGAAAGCAGAGCCTCGTCCCAGGAGAAGAAGGGGTGCCTGGGGAGGGGCTCTAAGGAGCCCCCCTCCCTAAGTAGAAGAGATATCTTAAGGGTCAGAGCTCCTCTGAGAGGGGAGACCTCCCTGCAATCCTGCTCGGTGATGCTGAGCCTTCGCTACACTCTTTCTAGAATCCTGAGCCCTAACAGGGGCTTTTCTGGTAAAGAACACTAAGCAAAATGGCAGGTGAGTTATAGGTCAGAGGTTCGGAGACCAAGGGGCAAAGCTGGAGCTTTACTCAGGTCTCTCCCGTCTCCATCCCTCCTTGAAAGGGGCGGGGTGCGGGGGTGCTGGCCAACTCTGGGCCTCCTCCAGTTTGCATGCGATGCTCAGATTCAGCTGTACCGCTCACGCCCAGCTCTGCTCTGCTGGGGGCGGGGAGAGGGGGCTCCACACAGGCCTCTGCACACACTTTGTTCCTTGCTGCCTGCAGGGCCCTTTCTCCACTGTAGGGATCCACATTGCCCAGCCCAGCATGCATTTCCTTTTTTTGCGAAGGGGGAGCCACTGCATCCTATGATGGCCTTTCTCTTCTCAGAGCTCTCTGTGAGCACAGGTACTTGAACCTGTATCTCGGGCCTGGAGAAACCACTTGTCACGTTGCTTTCTTCACGGATGAACGCATCGCGGTCCCTAAGAAATACCCACTGATGGTGACTTCTCAAGGGAACCAGCAGAAACTGCCCCCTGCCAACTCTTCCCCCTTCGACCCCACTATCTGTCTGTCCCACTGCAGGTAAGGCTCACCTTGACCTAAGTGAGCTCGTCTGTACCTATAGGCAGCCCGGAAAGCTCTGGCAACTTCTCCCACTTGTCCTCTCTCCGTGCTTCCTGCCTCTAAGTCGACACATATGCTGAGCATCTTTTAAGCTAATTCCTTTGGTGGGAAATCTCAGCTGGCTTGAACTAGGACCGGCCGTGGAAAGAGCAAGAAACAGCTTGAAGGGGTGACATTTCTGGACAGACTGTTGAAGCTTCGGGACCCCTCTAATGGGTTTCGGGGAGTTGCGGGACATGGGTCCGGTGGATCTATTTTCTGACACTAAGTGGCTCCACTCTATTCTCTGTGCTGTGCTACCCCGCCGAGCACAGCCCTGGGTCCTCACGGAGTGAGCTGTGAGACCCCGACAGAGGCCTTCATGGCAGGGAGGCTGGCAGGGAAGGAAGGCTCGTTAACTCTGAACTAGAGAGAGACAGTGGTGCTACAGAGGCTGCGCTTACGGCTTCAGTGTGAAACAGTGAGTTGTGAGCCTTCAACTTGGCTGTTGAGGGTCGACGCTGGACATTCTCCCAGGAGGCTTAGCAGAACAGTAGTTTGCTATTTTTAAGAGGGAGCCCACAGGTGCTGCAGGAAAGGGCTGTGCTCCGCGCATCCCTGCAGGGCCCTCCACCTGCCGGCCCCAGCCCAGCCGTCCATAACTTCCGATCCCTTTCCTTCCCCATTTTTGATGAACGGGACCCACGCCTGGCCTGGCAGCTGTCAGCTCACCGGTTTTGGACGCAGCCTCCGCGGCAAAGTCCGCGGCAAACTTCTTGAGGACCTCCGCGCTGTCTTCCTTCACGAAGAGGCCAATGAAGTTGGAGGAGGTATAGAGCTCCAGGGGCAGCGGGGCCGAGAACTTGCACTTCCAGCGACTGACCGTGGTCTGGAGGGCTTCCCCCAGGGCGTCCACCTTGCTGTCCTCACACTGGCAGGGGAAAACAAAACGCTCCATTCAGAGGGGGGCGGAGGTCTACCGCTACCGAACATTTGACGTCCTCTGCCCGGGGCTGGAGGCCGAGGACGCCATCCCTAAAGCCTCGCTTCTGTCTGTGAGGACGGAGGAGAACTGCAGGCTCCCAGTTATCCGGACGTGGGCCGTCTAACTGGTAAATTCAGCTGGGGCCGTGGGACCGACGCTTGCCTCCCGCCCTGCCCTGCTGTGCCCCTGGGCGCAGCCTGGTCCAGCAGGAAGGAAGAATGGGGGAATGTGCCCGGAGAAAACGGCATCTCAGGGTAAAGGATGTGCTTTCCCCTGCTCTCACATCATCTGTGACTTTTCTGTTCTCCTCGGATGATCAGAAGTTGACTCGGCTGCCAGTCTCACGCTAGCTCAGAGAGCTGCGGTATCATCTCCCCACCCTCTTGGAGCACTGGGGGAAAATGAGTGTCTCTAACGTTCGGAATGCTTTTGAGAAAGATCCTGGAATGACTGGGAGGAAGTGATAATCATTATAATTCCCAGAGGGAGCGGTAAGAAAGAAGGTGTGAGGAACACGGTTTTGTTTTGTTTGTCTTAAAGAGGCAGAGACAATCTGGAAAAAAAAATACTTGAAAATACTTTTTGAAAATGTTGTCTAAAAGTGCTACCATTCTGCCTCATCTCGAATACACCTGGATAAGCCAATTCTGCTCTATCTCCACAGGGAACTAAAGTAGATGAAAAGTATTTATATTTATTACACGGAGGGGGATTTAATTTAGTCATTAAGTAAGCTCTGTGATAGCTAGGATTATGGAGGTTAGGTAACTATGGCGGGCCACAGGTATCTTTGCTGTCTCTAGAAAGATCTGGTGAGACAAAACTCGTGGCCAGAGGGTCTATGAGGCTAAAGTCCCCTCCCGTGTCTGTAGAGCACATTTCTTGTTCCTAGCTCCCTAATTTCTACTCTTACCCGTGGACCAGGGTGGAAATGCTTTAGTTTCAGTGTTGGGGCCGCCCGTCCAGGTCCTGACTCAGTGGGTCAGGCTTGTCCCTAGAGTCCTGAGGAACAGCAATCATCATGATGGTGCATCCGACCCGGGGTGCTCCTGGGCCCCGGCAGATGGGACCTTACTCATTCCTTAACGGTCCATCCAAGCCCAGGAGCCCGTGACTCTTTCGGCCAGCTCCCCGAGGCTGCTGACTCTGACTCCAGGTCCCAAGGCGCTGGCTGGGGTGTGGCAGCCAGGCTCCCCGGGCAGGGGCTGAGGGGCTGGGGGGCCGGGGCAGGGTCTGCGGCTCACCATGAAGAACTGGCAGAGGGTGATGTGGGGGAAGATGTTGTGGGCTTTGTTCTTCCCGCAGATCTGCTTCGACTGTTGCCAAAAGTCGGAGAGCTTCTGTGCTAAGGGGCCGGTGGGTCGGAGGTAGAGGACGTACTCCCGGGGCAGGGGGTCATCCAGGAAGGGGTCGCCGACGTGGGAGAACAACCTGCCAGAGAGGAGGGAGCCAAGCAGGACCCGCTTGAGAACAATGGAAGGGAAGGAAGACCCGAAAGGGACAGATCCTCCCTCCAAAGGCTCCATACCCCAGGCACTGTAAGGGGATGGGTTTTCGTTTTTGTGCTTTAAAAATCCATCCTGGGGCGCCTGGGTGGCTCAGTCGGTTAAGCCTCCGACTTCGGCTCAGGTCATGATCTCACAGCTCATGGGTTCAAGCCCTGCATTGGGCCCTGTGCTGACAGCTCAGAGCCTGGAGCCTGCTTCAGATTCTGTGTCTCCCTCTCTCTCTGCCCCTCCCCCACTCATGCTCTGTCTCTGTCTCTCTCTCTCTCTCAAACATTAAAAAAAAAAAAAAAATCCATCCCTACGATTAAACCCACATGCCTCCAGACAGGAGCGTAGGGACCTGCCCTGGGCAGTGATGTCCCGCAAGGTGTTTTTGTTTTGTTTTGTTTTGCTTGAAATCGATTCACCCAGCACCCACGCACCTAAGGTGTATCTTTGAGTGAAGTCGGGGGACAGATACCGTGTTAGGGGCTGTATCTTGGAAATGCTTTGAATTTCTTTAAACAGCTTTAAGGAGAAGCACACCCTGGAACCAAGACCCAGGAGGCCGTGAGCTTGATAACCCTGTCACATGTCACATGGCTTGTCACACGGTCTTTTGCCCCCCACCCCCCGCCCAGTCCGTTAGAGAAAGGCTGCACATCCCTGCTCAACCACGTGCACTTAGAGTTAATTATATGCTATTTTCTCTATTTATTTATTTCATACCAACCAGTCACATGCTGCCTGAACACTTCTCCCTCCTGTGGATGCCAAGGCTTTTTGTCTGGAAGAAGAAATCAAATTTCTATTGTTAGTATTTTTAGCCTCCTATCAGCCTTTCTCACTGCTGTGGCGACAGTGTGAAGGAGACGACATCAGAGCCTCCTCAATGGCGTGTGGGGGTGGGGGTGAGACCAGACACCTGCTGCAAGGACGCCCCCTCCCCCCAAGGGTCCTAGCGAGGCATATGGAAATCAGGACTTGTAATTAATTTCCATGTAATTAGCACTGGATTTGCATGCAGCCCGACAGCCATGCAGTCTATTTTCAGCAGTTTCCACATTAGAATTTTATTTTTGCTTCCCTAAAGGTTGCCTGTCTTGGTCCGTCCTCCTTCCTTTTCACCCACTCTCATTGACCCAGATCCCCGGCCGAGCAGTTTTGTGTTTGCAGCCCCTTGGCAAAGCGTGTTAGAAGCTGATGCCCACAAGGATGTTTCCTTTGGGGCAGTTCAGTGACCCCTCCCACCCATCTCCAGCCACCACCCACAGCCTCAGGCTAGATCTATGATCTCCCCGCTATTTTAGACGCCTCTGGGGACAAAAGACAGGTTAAGAGTGTGGCCCAGAGCTCTGCCTCCATCACTCCCCCTGCTGGAGTCAAAACTCTATTACTGGACGGGGCGGTGTCACAGGAAGGTGACAGCGGTGAGGCCCTTGGGCACAAGCACGCGAGTAAGAGTGTCTCAAATCTCAGGTCTCTGAGAGCCAGCCGGTTCTGGCTTTGTCACCAGCTTTGCCGTGCATCCATTCGTTCTGCATTCATGCTTCCGTTTGCTCGAGAAATACTTCCTGAAGTGCAACTATTTTCTCAGCACTGTGCTAAGCTCCAGGAATACGGTGACAAACAAGACTTCTACGGTCCCCACCCTCATGGAGATTTGGGTGGAGCGGGCATGAAAACCTTGATTGTACAGATAATTACATTGGCGGTGAGTGCAATGAAGGGAAAGCATGGGGAGCCATAAGAACATAAGACGGGAACACCGAACTTGGGCTGGTCAAGGGGTCAGGGAAGGCTTCACTGAGGAAGTGACATTTTGAGTGGGATCCAAATAGTGTAGACTCCTCTGGGCAGGGGTGGGTGGGTGGGGAGGTTGTGGTGGCAGCCACTTAGCATATCTGCTCCATAGGTGTGTACCTAAGGGGCCTTGAACTCTCATCTGACCCCACGGAGTTGATCGATAAATGGCCGTTCCCATCCCTTGTAGTCTCCAGATCCCGGTTCTTTGGAAGAGGGAGGAAAGGGAAGGGAATTCTAGCTTCAGTTGATACTCTCCAAACACCCTTCTTCCAACTGGCCACTAAAGCCAGCTTCTCTGTCCATCTCCTGGGCCCTCTGTGGAGCAACCAGAAGGGCTGGTGCTGTGAATCACAGGGGTCAGCCTGGAAGGACCTTCAGATCATCTGTGAGTGAGCCCAACTTCTTCACTTTACCCCGGGGGATCCCAGGTGAGGGCTCAAAGCAGCCTGTCCCTACCATTGGCTCTGTAGCTCGGTTCCACAGCCCAAAGATCAATTAAATACCTTCTCGCATATGAAATTCTGAGCATAAACACCATATGATCAGGATTAGGATATCTACACAGCTAAGTAGAACAGCATTACAGAAGCAAGCCAGACAGACCCCTCTGAACCCCTCAGAACAAAAGCTGGTACAGAAAAGGCTGGAAACACAGGGACCCCCCTCCCTCCCCCCCCCCCACACTCGCCCCAGACCTTAAGGTGCTTAATTACTGCCATGTTGCCCACTTATTAGAGGCACACATCGTATGCTTTTTTTTTGGATGCAGAACCCACATACCCACGAAAGAATGCAGATCATGGTCTTTTAGGTTAGAATCTCTGAGGAATTAAATTCACCAAAAAAAGACCCATTGTTTCAAAAAACCGGGGAAGGAAAAACTCATTTGTGATACAATGTCCTATTTATGTAAAGGATCCAATTTCTCTTTCTTTCTTTCTTTTCTTTTTTTTTTTTTTTACAGGCCCTTCCCCCAGTGAAATATATCTGACTGAAATTTAATTCATTTTTCCTTAAGCACCAGGAGTATCATCTGGAAATGAGAGATCTAATTAAGTTATGGTCCCCATAACTCAAAAGACAGGTTTTGGAGAGGGCTCAAAGATATAATTGAGAAAGATAATGAAAGGTTTGGGTGACAAGGCTCTGATGAAAGGTTAAGAAAACCCAAATCTTTCTGAAGAAGACAGGTCTGAGAAATCTTCAATTTTATGGAAGGTTCTTGTATCTGATGTACCTTCTCTAGCAAGGGCCAAAGTAAAATAAGCTTTGGGGCACCTGGGTGGCTCAGTCGGTTAAGCGGCCGACTTCGGCTCAGGTCATGATCTCACAGTCCATGAGTTCAAGCCCCGCGTTGGGCTCTGTGCTGACAGCTCGGAGCCTGGAGCCTGTTTCAGATTCTGTGTCTCCCTCTCTCTGACCCTCCCCCATTCATGCTCTGTCTCTCTCTGTCTCAAAAATAAATAAACGTTAAAAAAAAAATAAAAAAAAAATAATAAGCTTTGGCTAGAGCACAAAGGGCTCACGTTAGACACCAGAAAGAACTTTCTGGGGGGCGCCTGGGTGGCTCAGTTGGTTAAGCATCTGACTTCGGCTCAGGTCATGATCTTGCTGTTCATGAGTTGGGGCCGCGTGCCTGTGCTGACAGTTCAGAGCCTGGAGCCTGCCTCAGATTCTGTGTCTCCCTCTCCCTCTCTGGCCCTCCCTCGCTTGCACTGTCTCTCCCTCTCTCAAAAATAAATAAACATTGAAAAGAAAAACTTTCTGGAAGGAAGGTGTTGTGAAAGTGAGGTGCTCTGTTTTTTTTGTTGTTGTTGTTGGCGGTGGTGGGGGGGGAAGTAGAGAAAGTTTCTAGAAAGCCATTACCGATCTGAAACAGAGGAATGGGATTCTCTGGGCAGCGGGAGTAAAATCACCACTTCCCTAGGGTCACAAGCCACAGGCAGGGCTCTGGTGCTCCTTCACGCACTACCAGGCTGACAATGGTTTGGGTTGTGTTCCCAGAACTCTGCCCACAGAACAGACGGAACATGGGCAGTGGCACAGCACATCTCCCCGCTCCACCCTGCTGTACAAAGACTGTTGCTATAGAGCTCCCACCTCCACGGCCCATCGACGGGGCCAATGCCAAGAACAGTGGGGTGTGCGGGGTGGACCCCAAACACCAGGCTGAGCCTGTACAGCTGCTCCGCTCGGAGTGACTCAGAAGTTGGCAGACTGTCGGAGACCCTGGGCAGATCAAGGCGGAGTATCCCTTTAAACTCAAAGGCGAGTGGTCTAGCCATTGGATTATAGCAGCCGATTATTCAGATGGGATCTTTGTGGTTGGACTTGGCGGGACACGGGAAATGCTGCAGCTCTGTTACGTGAGAACACAAATGTCACCTCTGATCCTGGTCCTAACCTTGCCCATTATGTCTAGGGTTCATTCGTAGCAGAAGGTGGGGGGGGGGAACCCCCAAAACCAACCAAACAAACAAAAAAACCAACGCAAACTCTGATGTCCTACTCATGGTGGTTTGAAAGAACAGCACCAATCAGATCAAAGCAATGGCTCACCGACAGATCAGGCAAGCGTCTGTGAGGACATTAGCCCACACGGGAGGAACCAGCAGCCCCCACTGATGGCCTTGCTTCGCTCTCGCTGGGATCCCTCCCACTGTCTGCCCTCAGCTCTCCTGAATTTTAGGTTCCAGGTTGGTCTGGCCCCAGGGCCACCGCTCGACCCCACCACCACGGTCACGGAGAGGCCCTCAAGTCTTAAAAGGGCTTGGGAAGGAAATATTCCTTTCTGGTTTGCCTAAGACAAAGTGGCATTCTTCCCTCTGCGTCTTCCTCCCTTCCTTTCTTGCCTCTCGCCTTCGCTTCCTCCCCAGGAACTCTTACCAGGAAACCAAGCGAAAACCAAAACCCAAACCAAAAGTTTAGCTCAGAAAGCTACACTCTCATGGAGTTTGGCCCGGGTCCTTTTGGGAGACCATTGCCTCTGGGTCCTGTGGTTGGGTTCAGGCCTGCCTGTGTGGATTCAGGCCGGCCCCGTGTCCCAGTGCAGCATGATTCCTGCTCCCTCTCAGAACCACAGGTTTTGAGCTGGACTGGAATGTCCTGTTTAAGGGCCACCCTCGGCCGAACACCAGCCGTATGTCAGGCGCTGGGCATACAGAGAAGAGGAAAGGGAGTTTCTGGGGCTGGCGTTCTTAAATTGTAGGCCAAGCGACCCTAGGCAGTATAGTACAGATAAGTCTGCGCATGGTGAGCGTGAACAATTTCTGTTACGTTCCATGAGGACAGCTAGACCGAGAGTCCTCAGCAGACACCAGGTCTCGTTGTGGGAACCACATTCATAAAGCTTTTTCTGTTAGCTTGTGATTCCATATCTCTTTCTGTTCGTAAGCCAGACACTTCTTTTAGGCTACCCAGTGAGTTCCGATTCCCTACGGAGTACCGTCAGCTCCCAAATCACTCAATACTGGGATCAATAGTCAAGGCATCCCTGGCTCAGGTAGACAGGTTGGCTCAGACTCCCAGGTTCTCCAGGGTCATTCGTCTTTTACGTGCCTTCAGAAGAGTTCTTCCCCTATTTTTCTGCACCTGACAAAACTCAGATATCTGACACCGGAATCTTTTAAAACACAAGAAGCAACACACATACTACTAGAAAAGGAAGGACATTCCCTCAAAGTAGTAAGAGCTTGATCCAATCAAGCCGAGCTTTCCAATTACTTGAAGTTGTTCTGTCCTTGGCTTTGGATTGCTGGTCAGCACATCTTGCGGCCTCCAGATCGTGTACGCTCTTGCTTTGGTTCCCTGTGACCGAAAACTTCGTTATGTAGGAAAAGAGAAGACAGGAGGCCAAGCCTGTAATCCTGCAAGTAGATGAAACTCCCCATGCGACAAAAATTCTATCATTCCTTCATGTAGCTAAGATAATCTCAAATATTAGCAATATTTAATGCTCACTGTAGGATTAAAAAAAAAAATGTTCTCAACCTCCAGGATACCAGTTGTTACATTTTCCACATCTAAGACTTTGAATTCAATTAAAGGATGACCTAATTAACCAGATACCTTATTCTCTTTCCTCAGAATTCGCTTAATGATCTGTGCTAGACTGGGGAGCGAGCAAACTTAGAGGGAACCCAACTTCTGTTTTTCCTGGTTGGAAAGTCCAGCCCTATCAAGGGGCCACTGGTTCCACTAAACAACGTTGAGGGATTCTTTTAGGGTGTATTTGAAAAACGGACATTGTTTTGTAGTGTGGTTTTAGGGAGAAATATCAGAGGCTTTTAGTGTGCTGGGTGGAGAATTGCCAGCTTAATGCGGACCTTCTTCGGACCTTCTTCATCAGAGAATTGGAGGCGGCTTAACGACTTGCCTGAGGCTGACAGCTATCCTGAGAATAGAGGCAAGCAGGTGACTCTGCACCCACAGGTTGCTCCAGCAAGAGGAAAACAGTCAACACAGTCAATAATGATTGGAGGCCTTCCTTGCACCGAGAGCTTCACAGACTTTAAACCCTCATGAAAAATGGTGAAAGCTATATTGTCAAGAAGCCTCCTCTCTGGACCTGGGCAGCTCTCACCTGATAGGTCAGCTGTCCGGTCATTTCTGTGGTTGTCCCAATCCAGGGGCTGCTCCCACAGGCTGTGGCTAAGCTCTGAATCAGTGAAAGAAGTATACTGAATAGTTGACGCCCTGAGCCTAGAGCCCTGGGAAGCATTTCTGCTAACTGCCCCCAAGCTTCCTCTTCTCTGGAAACCCAGGATGAAGTGGCCCCTAACCCTCTGGTTGGGAATGGTCGTGGACACCTGCTCCTGCCTCCTGGGTGCCTACCAGGTTGGAATGGGGTTTCTTGGTAGAAGAGGGAGGTGGAAATGTTGAGAATATTAGCACCTGTCTGCCTGTGCATTTACCTCTGCTCAATCAGCACAGTCCTCCCTCTTATCCTCCACATAAAAGTGAGTAAAACCAAACCTATCCTTCTGAAGGAGCAAGTCTAGACATGAAGAAAGCTTTTAGGACTAAAAAGAAAATCAAAAAATGAAAAAAAAAAACCCCACAAAACCCCTACTAATCTCTAAAGGAGAAGTTCTCCCTACCTTATTATCTTTTTTCTATGCATCAGAAATGACTTGTTTCTTGGGCTTTTGCTTAATACCCACTTCCTCTCGGATTCTGACTTTCTCCTCTGGTGAAGGTTTGCTTCCACCTCAAACTATGATCAGCCTGCTCTGCCTTCTCTTCTGTTAGGTTGGGTAGGGTTGTTTCAGCAATGAGCCATCGCCCAGGTGCAGAGCAGAAAGGTGTGAGGACGGGATGGACACAGAATATGGGGCAGACATGAGTCCAGACGCTCTAGGGGCCAAGGATGGGAGATGCTTCCAGAGCAACCAACTTGATCCCCTGAACGTCTCATCTATCGCTGCCCATTAATCGATACTTCATTTTCGGACATAATTACCCTCTCAGCTACCAGTGGCCAATAAGACCCATACAAATTTGGTCCCGACTTTAACTGATGGTCAGAAGGCAAATGAATGTTGGGGAGCATTTGAGGAGCATCTAAGAACCACAAAAGCCAAAGCAGAGATGGTTATTTTAGCCAAAACTTCTTGGCGGATGTAAAATCAAGGAGTGGCCAAATGCTGTTGCCCCAGTGGGTCCTTGCAGGAGCTGGGACGCGGGCACAGGTTCTCAGGTGCTTTTTCCCCAAAGGAAGTTGTTTCCCAGCTTGATGCTTTAGTTTTTCATCTTCAAAGAGAAAGTGATGAATGCCCACCCAGGGAGTTTGAGAAAGAAAGGTGTGACATCTGTAAAGTCTTACGAGGTCCTCAGAAGCCACCATAAGTACTAAACCATGATTCTGTGGTTACAAAGGATCTAGAAACTGGCTGGTCCATTCTTCCTTACGGCCAGACAAGGCTGTACTTCCTTCGAGGTTGCACCTTTGAAGGAATCTTTCTCGTTCTCACAGATCTTCAGGGGAATCCGCCATGTCTCTTGATTATAGAAATAATGGCCCTTGTGCTCAGAAAGTTCTTCCGTGTGTTCAGACTCTTTCCAACTGTGCCCAAACTCGTGCCGCCTTTCCTGTAGCTGGTAGGGTCGATCACTCTTTCCTACATACCAATAATGTATTCTGTCACTTTGGCCCAAGGAATCCCAGCTACTGTTTGTCACCAAAGGCCAGTAAGAGAGGCTTGCAAGAGGCTGGGCAGTTCAGTTTCACAACCTCACCTCTGAAGTCTCTGACTCCTCCCTGTGAAGCTGGAGAAGGCCAGTGGAGAGGCCTGTCAATAAACAGAAACCATAATGGTCCTACCCATTTCCTTTGGAGGAAATGAACCTAATGGAGAAAGATATATTGATCATAAAGACCCAATCTCGGAATCAGTCTCCTGGCGGTGAACCCTTTCAGTTAGCCGGGGCTAATGGCCTAGGCTTTCAGCTGCTGGGGCCTGTTTGAGAGCTGTACATCTAACAATCGATGGGATCTCAAGCCTGCCAGGGGGCCGGGGACGCGACCACCAACAGGCTGGCCAACAGGAAGGAAAGTGCTGTGGGCTTTTTTTTAAGGCTAATCAGGGAAGGGGAGCGGGGGGAATGCTGAGCTGTTTGGGAGCCTTAAGGAGGCCTTCCAGTTGAAGAAACCCAACCTGTGGTGACACCCCTCTTTCTCTTCTATCAACAAGACTCTATTTTCCAACCCAGAAAGAGCCCGTTAAGCCGCTCTCCGCAGGGGGTGGTTAGCAGGGAAAATGCTGCTTAGGTTCCCTGATGTGTTTATGTGGCAGGGCCCAGCGGTCCAGATGGAGAGGCCTTGTTTTGTTCTTGTGTAAAGGGGGCTGAAGCCCTGGCCTCTCTGGAGTTTGTAATTGGGAAACCAGCCATTAGACCATGGGTGGTGACATAATAAAACACATTGCTTTCTGCCTCTGTTGTAAGTCTCCCTAGGATCCAGACAATAGCTTTCCTCCCCCCAAAATCAAAGACTTTTTGCACAGAGACACAAGTGGTATGCTTGTAGTATAAAACGAACTTTATAGTTCATTCTTGGGAGCTGACTAACTGTGGGACTACGGACAAGTTAATTATCTGAAGATTAATTTTCCCAGTCTCTTAGGTGGGGATAACAGCACCCACCTCGCAATGCAGAATGGCAATAAATATTGGTATCAGATCCTGTATCTGAAGAGTTCAGCACGGCGTCCGGCATCTACTAGGCACTCAAAAACAACACCTGCACATACACCTCTCC